AATTCTGGGAGTTGAAGTCCACTCATCTTAAAGTGGGCAAGTTTGGACAACACTGCCATAGTTGAAAGTGATTTTGGGAGACACTCTGGCTAAAGAGTGGGCAAAAATGCTTCAGAGACATAAATGTTAACTTGGGAATTCTATTACCAAGGGACAAAGATTACCCTGGGAAAATTACCTTCCTGTCTAAGGTGATTAGATATTTTGCAATTGCATGAATATCTGCTGATCATGCACCAGATCTAGCAAAAGTGTACAATTACCACCAAAGAGAAAAACTATTGATGATAATGATACATTTAAAAACATATTTATAAATCACATTTTTGTTATCAACATCTCTAACATAAAGATTTGTAAACACAAGTGTCAAACGTATTTGTTCAGTCACTGATTTTCCAGGACTCTGCTTAGATCTAAAAGTACAAATCCAGGGTTTCTCTAGAAAAGGCACCAGCAATTTCAAACTATGGAAATTCAAATTTCCTAGCTAATAAATGTCACAGTCATAAAGGAAATTCTTGTTGAATAGAACCTACTCCTAGCATGGCACAAGACACAGTCTGATTCTCAAATTCTAAAACTTTTAACAGTTGCCATTTCACAAACCCAGTTCCTTTTGGCATTTAAGAATATCATCTGAGTCATGAGTTACACTGGAGCTAAGTGGAATGTTTGGGCAGATTCAAAATTAGGGGGAAAAGGGCAGGTAGGCAGAAGCAGCAGTAAACTCAGCAGAGAATAGGATTAGAAAGGGTTAGGATGAAGTTGAGGGTTCCTCAAAATGAGCAATGTAATGAGAAACTGAAGAACAAGACAGGCAATTTTATACCAGACATAACATAAGGTGCCAAGAAACTGAAAGCAAGAACAACTATCAGTTTTCTGGTTTTTCATATTTCTCTTTTCTAGGATTTGTAAGAAGCTATTACGTTCACCCAAGCACTATTTTAGTAACACAATAACCTTTGATTGACAGAAGAGAACCTGGTTTAATTTGGACATAATTCCATTGTACTGAATTGCTAATATTAGCATGCATTCATGTGTGTACGTACAACCGCACATACACCCTGCTCACCATACCCCAAGTTGCAGGTCCCTACTCCTTAAGACAGCAGCATTTTTCTCTTCACACAGTTGTGCATAGCGCATGGCCAGCATATAATTTTCATCCTTCAGCCTTAGCAGCTCCAGGCTGTTGGAGTCCCACTCTTCTTGGAACCTCTGCCAACGTTCTTGCACTTTCTGTAATCCTTGGAGCTGTTGCTTCAACTGGCTACATTCTTTGTCTAACGCTTGGTTCTTCATCTGGAGCTGGTGTTCTCTGGCCAGATGCTCCTTCCGTTGGGCCCTTACCTTCTTCACCTCCATCATCAGGAACTGAGTCAGGCCTTCAGGGCCCTCCTCATCTGGAAAAGGGACAGAGGATGATCATCAGGTTGGTTCACAAGTAGGCGAAATGCTAGGAGCCATCAGCCAGAGCAGCTCATGTGTAATTCACCCAATAAGCAAGCTTGCCACTCACCCACTGAATTTGCAAGCACTGTAATATGTGAAATAGCATGTTTATAAACATGCATGTCTACTTAAAATTTGAGGCAATCATCACTGCAAACACATAGCAACACACTTTGCTGCATAGGGTGCAAAACAGCTCTTGGCCTTGGTAAAACTGTTCTGTAGAAAATCTAAGTATCGGACATTTCTGGCAAACAAAATTCCTCTGCTGAAAACTGTACAAATGTACATGCATTTCAACTGGTATTTTGTGAGAAATGCACCAAATTCTCTGTGAACTCTATCGTTACATACCTCTTTCTAATATGGGGATGTTTCTCTAATACATACCTATTATATACATACTTTGCATTCAGAAAACACAAACTGTATAATCACACGGCAATTTATTAAAATGCATCCAAAGCGGATTATTTTAGGGATAAATCAGCTCAAACTGTACATTTTGCCTTTATTTTGGGAAGAGAGCTGTTCAAATAAAAATAACATTTGTTCACAGATAACAGCATTATGGTAATATTGGAGTCTATTCACGTACAACAACAAAAGATATATGAGTGGAAGCTGCAGAGAAAAGGCAAAATAGTTAACCAATATACAGAAACATAATCCTGGTATCATGAAGCATTTTATAATACTGTACTGCCCTGAAGAGCTGATGTCATCCATAAACCAAAGACAACACGTGCAAAGCTAAGCTTCCTGCTGCTTCTTGTGTGGTAGGACAGCTCTAAAAAATATCCATGTGCCTATTTGCTATTTCTTAAAATTTCAAAACCAGATCGCTCTGATGACAAATAAAAGGCCAGTTCTGGAGTACCTCATCCTCTAAACGGCAGCCACTACCTAGACTTTATGTTAGGAGGGCATTCAAAACAAAACACAAAAAAAGGAACAGATATAGAAATTTAGGTACAGCACAGGCCAAGCAATCTCACATAAAATTCTCTATACCAGCAGAAAGCTCAATCTAGCATCCGTTTATGCATACAGACAACCTGTGCATCGAGACCTTTGAAGGCCCTGCTTCTTCCAAAGTAGAATCAAGCTTCTCTAAATCCGACTGCATGTTGCATTTCTTACAACCTCTTACCCAAGATCATAGAGCAACGCTGAACAGGCTGCTTTCCTGTCAGTCGGGTGAAATGTTCAGGATAATAGAACTCCAAGGACTCTAAGAATGCTTCGTAGCCTCGTTTCCCTCGTCTTCGAAGGATATCCATGAGGAGTCCTACAGAGGTTTTTAAATAAATAAATAAATAATCACACCCACAGGACACAAATGATGGCTTCATGTGATTAGCAACCAGAATCCTAGACTTGGTGTTTGCATATCACATGAAGCCATCATGTGCCAAATTGTGGCTCATTAAATAAACCATGATTTGTTGAATAAATAACAATTAGCCAGGTTCACAATCACACTAAGCCATAAATTACGGTTAATAGCACGGTTCATACAGTATGCTAAATCAAAATCAAATAAACCACATTAGGACTTCATGCAGTGGGCTAATCCAGTCCCAGCATTATAAAGTTGAAAGGTCTGAAAAGGCTACTTGGTCTAACCTTTACAAGAACAGCAACGGTCTTTTAAAGGTCACTGGATGTGAGAGTGAAGTCTTCCTGAGTAGGATTTAAGGACATTCTTTAGGTCTTATGTAAGGTCAAGGAAAAAAGAAACCATAATCTATTCCG